GAGCCACCCAGGCGTCCCATACAAGGCCTTTCCTAAAGGAGGAATAACTTGGCATAAACTATCCTTCCCAGAGAAAAGCGAGGGTGAGGTCCCAGTCAGGGCTGGTGCTAGTGCCAGTGGCAGGAACAAGTCCAGCTTGTTCCCATTAAAGCTGACTCCAAATCCAGAATTTGAGTAACCAAATCTACTCTAAGTTCCTCAACTAGATTTAATAGTTGTCTGCCCCTGAGTTCCAGAAAAAGCCCAGCACAGATTTGTCTTATCTTTGTCTATCTCTGCTTATATTAGTGCTCAAACCACAAGGCCAATGAAACCCAGGGGTCGTTTAAAAACTGAGTTTGAGGGGCGCCTGGGTGGCTCAGTTGGTTAAGTGTCTGCCTCTTGATTTTGGCTCAGGTCATGATCTTGGTTCAGGTTATGGTCTCAGGGTTGTGAGACTGAGCCCCGCATCAGGCTCTGTGCTGGGTGTGGAGCCTGCTTAAGAGTCTCTTTCTCCTTCTGCCCCTCTCCCCCTGCTCACGTGCATGAGCACAGGCTCGCTCTCTCTAAAAAACAAACAAACAAACCAAAAAACTGAGTTTGAGAACTCGAGAGAAGAGTCTGGAATTTCCTGGCTGTTTTAGTGTGGTTCCTATCATCACTATTTTAAAATCACCACACTTTGATGTCAGTGCCCCCAAAATAAGCATACAGATTGATCACGCATGAGGTAACCTTACATTCTGATTACTGAACGTAAGCTGGATAGGACCCTGAAATCCTCCTCCTCGGAGAGAAAACAAAGCAGCGGGTGTCGATCCAGTTTTATAGCTGCGAGTCTAACAAGGTCCTCCATGACTCAGTCGGGGATGAGGGAAGACCCTGAGCAGCCCCGGCCTCACAACACCTCCTCCAGGAATGCCTTAGTTGGCAGCACGTGCTCCGGTTCCTCTCCTGTGCCGTTGGTCGCCCTTCAAAGCTCTGCCTGAGCCACTACACTTACCTTTGAGTGTTTTTCAAAGTGAGGCAAGGACCTGTTTTCAAAGCCATCTGGCACTCGAGAGCCACTGATGGCCTGCTGTCCCACACAGGCAATCATCTGTGATATGTTAATGAAAGAACCTGGGGAAACAGGTTAGGAATATAACATTCGTTTACCAAAATAACATTAACTGAAGTACGAGCAGATCTGTGGGATAAAACAGGACTATGACATAGCAGGCTCCCAGTCTAGGGCCAGTAAGAGCCAGAAAGAGAAGAGTACAGGTTAGAGCCCTCAGTAACAGAACAAAGGCAGAAGGAGGGCGGGCAGAGCTCAGCAGGGAGTGAGCACTTTGCGGCTGGAGGAAAGACTTGCAAGGTGGGTCTGTGACCAGGCTGAACTGTGGCAGGACACTATGATTTGGGCATGAAAAGGGATGAAGAATTCCAAAGTAAGCGGAAGAGTGGGAAGGAAAGACACAGGAATGGGAAAGTGGGGGGCATGCATGTGTACCAGGGGCAGGAAGGAGAATCCTGGGGGGAAAGGCAGCAAAGCTGGACTTCATTCTGCTAAAAAAATTTACAGAAATAGAAGCAGGGAGGTTTTGAATCTGAGTGCAGTACCATGCAAGCTAACGCTTTCAGGTCCTAAATAACTATGAAATTAAAGTGTTTTGCCACGTCATTAAATATATTAGCTCAGATACATTAGCTCAGAAAGTATTTTTTTTAAAAATAAGGTCAGGCTTGCTTGAAGCATCCCGGAGCTCTGAAATCCACACGGATTATACAAGTTCCTCCAGGGGAGTTAAATTACCACCATGCAAATAATTAAGTCTCTTTCTGTACCTGTGATTTAAAAAGCTATCCCCTTAGAAATGAAAGGTCTGGAGTTACGATGTGTACGTTTCCTGGCACAACCCCTGCCAGCCCATGCAGAGGATGGGGACAGTGGCAGCCGGAGGTGCACTCACCCTTGGAGCCGCACAGAGCCATGGTGAGTGGGCTGTTGCTCTTATCCAGCTCCCGGAGACAGGCACTGCCTGCGTGGTCTCGGATCACAGACAGCTCCTTCAGGATCAGAGCCTGGCAGGGGGGAAGAGAGGCGCGTGGGGGCTCTGCCGACTACCAATGTTCAATCTGACACTGAATGAAATTTGGAAAAATTTAAGCCAGATGTCGGATTTCCACTTAAGGTTTTCGAGCCTTATCTATGAAGACCCACACCTCCCACAAGGTTCTAAAATCAGTGCTTAAGGTAGAAAACTGATTAGTAACAAAACCCTGAAAAATCCTTATTTATTTTTTAAATCCCTTAAATGGCCCATAAGGTAGAATGTGAATGGCTCTGTGTATAGCGAGTGCCCTACAGCATAATATGTCTCTGTGTGTTACTGTATACATACATACCCGCTTAAACGTGAGAAGTATAACCTAACATGTAGTATATAGTAAAAGAGAATGGCTTGTACTATTATAAAATTTACCTCTTGTTTTTTACTTTCCAAGTACACATGTGAATTTCTACAAGTTAAGAGCGTGTGATAAGGTGACTCTCTAAGAATATTCTAGTCTTTGAGCTCTTCCACAGGCTATCCTTTCTCAACTCACAATTTAGGATGCTGAATCAGTGAGGAGTCAGGTTTCAGGAAAACCAAGTACTGCAGAAGCCCCAGGTAACTTTCCAGGTAAGTCAATGAGAAACCTGTTTCTCTCTCTCTTAGGACTCAGTGAGATTAAGAATGAGCTAATGGTCAATAGTGCCTATACAACTCTTTCTTCCTAGTTCACAAAAAATTCCTTCCATCAGAAAATTTCTTACTGCTTATCCGTTCTTGCACACTTAGGTGAGTTAAAGCCCTGAGCCAGGGGCTGCAGCGGAGACCGGAGAGAGCCAGGCAAAATCCTGGTGCAGTCAGACTGCTGACGCAGGCTGCCTGAGAGAGAAATGTAGGGCTCGCAGAGGCTGGTGGCCCTTCTGATTCTGACACTTGCTGGTCCAGTTCTCAGCTAACCTAGTTTCAAAGGTGATGGGGGCAGCAGATAGGCATGTGACTCTCAGACTTTTCTGAATTTTCCCTCTTCTGTGTCCAAGTCTCTTTCGAAGACCATCTTTTGATTTTTATTTTTTAAAGATTTTATGTTTAAGTAATCTCTACACCCAATGTGGGGCTCAAACCTATAACCCCAAGATCAAGAGGCGCCTGCTCTACGGACTGAGCCAGCCAGGGGACCCATCAAAGACCATCCATTTAAAGAGCTGTGGTTGCCCGTCTCTGCTGGAGAGATGCTAGAAATAGGGCAGAAGCACTGGAGTACCAGTTACAGCAGGGGCCTAAGTGTAATGCTGGAACAAGAGCAGCCCCATGTGGTCGAGTGAGCGGACAGCCATGTCTGTACTACCTAGGAACATGAAAGCTGCTAGGAATGTAATGGATCTGACTGAAGGCACCTCATTAAATGAACGAGCACACACCCAAGCAGCACAGAGCTGACCTGGGGCTAAAGCCACGGTGTTGACTTCCCCCTCCCCTCTGCTACCTTCTCTTCCGGCTCGCAGCACAAGCCCACACGGACCAAGTGGCTAACCCACCCGAAGAGCCAGACGCACCTCCAGAGTCTCCTCAGCGGTGCAGCCAGGCTGTTGCTGCAGCTTGCCTGTGTTCAGGGCTTCGATGTACTCGTCACATTTTTTATAGCCAGCGTTCAGCAACTCATACTTGGCCTTCAGCAGTCCTTGACCAGGTGTGACGTCACCAATCCCAATGGAGAATCCACGGTTTGCTGCAGAATAGTTGGCAGGTAGAGCAGAGAGGGCCATGAATGTTCATCAGCCTACTACATGGAAACAAGTTTACACCTTCAGAAAACATGTCATGATCCAATTAAATAATAATGTACCACGGAGTTCCCAGTAAATTATATAGAAATGACCAAGACTCACTGAATCCTGTCAGAGACCTTACAACCCAGTGGGGAGCAAGTAATGTCCCCAACTAATTATAATATAAAGCAGACTGATATTAAACACTAAAAAGCAGCCGGAGAAAGCCAGCAATAGAAAGTGAGCCATCTGACTTCTTGTTCTAAGATACCATCTTAGAGATCTTTCTGCCCACACCCTCTTGCTTCTTCAGAAATCATTCCAAAGCATAAAAAAACCCCACCATTGAGGGAACTATGCCCCACCAATTACCTACCCCTAACGTATGTAGAAATGGGTGAACAAGAGGCACCTGGTTTAGTAGTGTGGGGAAGGGATACCTAAGAGTGGCTGTGGAAATGAGGACCCACGAGTCTGGAAAGGCTCAGAAACTATACCATCAGCTTCTGCAGATGCTGCAGACAATGTATGTGTTGGAAATGAGGAAACCTGGTGGAGTATCAGTATTTTTCTGTGGGAGATGGGAGTTTACTAAAGGAATTAGAGAGCTCTGGACAGGGGATACTAGGTGCAAAAAGATGGGAACGACTGGAAAGCAGGTCATGAGGGAAAGTATATTCCATGGCTGTGGTCCCTTGATCCCTTTCCCTGTCCAGCTCCCAGAATCCTGGCAAGCAGGTCTCAACCACTGTGGGGGGAGACTGAGACTGGAACACAGGTCCCTGGAGAAACCAAGCCTCCCTAGAGAAAAGCATTACTGATAGGAATATTTGGCAGTTCCTCAATAAAAATGTTGGCTTGCAGCTCAATCAAGGGACAAGCCCATCAACCAATAGGCTCCATTTCTAATCAGTGTTTGGTGTCTCACTCCTAAAAGTTTGAATGGATAGCCAGGGACCACCAGATATTTGAGGAAAGTCTTCAACATGAAAGAATGAAAACAACAAATGCACAGAAAAATGAAAGTAAGGAGAAAATTCAGGGAGCAAATAAAACTATGAAAAATATTGTGTCTGACAGAGAAGATGTATCTGGAGATGAAGAACAGGAAGCCTTAAAACAAAACAAAACAAAACAAAAAAAACCCAAAAAAACTCCCAAAAAGCAAAAAACTACACCTACAAATAAGAACAATGGAAAATATGGTTGGAAGCTAAATAAATGATAGTTAAAATTAAAAAAAAAATCAATAAAACAAATCACTTTAAAAGATAAAAGGAGGGGCGTCTGGGTGGCTCAGATGGTTAAGCGTCTGCCTTCAGCTCAGGTTATGATCCCAGGGTCCTGGGATCGAGCCCCACCTTGGGCTCCCTGCTCAGCAGGGAGTCTGCTTCTCCCTCTCCATTTGCCCCTCCTCCTACTCATGTGTGTGCGCTCTCTCTAGCTCTCTATCTCAAATGAACAAATCTTAAAAAAAAAAAAAAAAAGGATAAAAGGAATCCAGAAATAAGGAGATGGACAACAGGGAAAAGAAAATAAGGAAATCAGAGAGCTGATCTAGAAGCTCTACTTACACAATGAATAGGAATTCCAAAAAGAAAGAACAGAGATAATTAAGGTGAGAAATTACCAATACCAACAACAAAAACCAAAAACCAAACCAAACGAAACACGAGAAAATTTCCACAACTGAAGGACACATGGTGGCAGATAAAGAGAGCTCACAGAGCACCCAGGACAATGAAGCGACCCATTCCAAGGGTGTACCACTGTGAATTTCCAGAACACCAAAAACAGAGAATTCTCAATCCGGAATGAAAAGACAGATACAACAATGTGAAAATAGGAATAGAAATCCACTTTAACAATATCTCCGAGGGCTAGAGGAGAGCAGGACCTTCAAAATTCTGAGGAAAGACAGAATTCAATCCAGAGTTCTATACCCAGCCAGAGAATCGATCAAGTGTAGGAGCTGAATAAGAATGCTTTGGGGCATGTAAAAATCTGGACCAGGGCCTGCTCAAAGCCTGAGCAAACAAAGGAAACAGAACAGTGCAAGGAGAGAAGGGGAAGATGAGGGCCTGGCAGAACCCAGTCACGAGGGCCCAGGAGGCTGTGGTCAGAGCGCAGGCATCTGGAAGGAACCTGTGAAGGGCCCTTGGTCTAATGACCCTGTCTGAGGGGCAACAGGGAGCTGCTGCGCACGTGAGATAAGAACTCAAGAGCAAATTCAAATCTGAACCAAACCGGTCAGTACTGAGCTAATTTCATGAAGTGAAGGCACAAATGATTCAGCCGGGAGTAAGTCTCCTTTCCTGTGCACAGGTATGTGTGTGCTGTGTGGGGGTCGGGGGAGTTAAAGGTAAAAGAAGGAAACAGCACAGAGCCCCTAAACCTCAGCAAGTACTGCAATAAAACGAGGATACTGAGATACTCACAGAGGTAGACAGGAGCCAGCCTGGCAAGCCGTGACATTGCATCAGCCGCTTCGTTCTGCCCCCAGTCTCGCAGCAAAATGTAGAATATGTTGTTCTTGGATCCGGACCCCAGAGTTCCCTTGTCCATACTGCCACTCATCAACTCACTGTTCTGGATAGTAACGTCTGCAAGGATAACGATGACCGTGCACTTAAACAATTACTACTTAGCCTCGTTCCAAAACGAACATGATGCAGTTGAGAAAATACCTTCCCATATTGAAAATTAAAGCAGAGCAAATAAAAATTCTCTAAAAACGTCTGAGGAGAGGGGCGCCTGGGTGGCTCAGTTGTTAAGTGTCTGCCTTCGGCTCAGGTCGTGATCCCCGGGTCCTGGGATTGAGCCCTACATCGGGCTCCTTGCTCAGCCGGGAGTCTTCTTCTCCCTCTCCCATTCCCCCTGAGCAGTGTTCCCTCTCTCGCTGTGTCTCTCTCCGTGTCAAATAAATAAAATCTTAAACAAAAAAGTCTGAGGAGAAAGAAGAGAAATCTACGGACTTTTGAAAAGCATGAAAAGCCCAGTTAGTTACTTTACAATCCTAACTCTTAAATGTACCACCTGACCCTCATTTTCAACTGTGAACTGAGAATGACAGTGTTGACCAGTTGTCATCTTTCTGTCACAGGGATAATTTGAGCATCTGATGAAATCATGTGCAACAAAGTACTCTATAAACTATAAAGCACATTGTTATTCACACAAGAGAATGAAAATTAATGGCACCTGGAAGAGGCTATACCACAAAATGAAATTCACATCTAGGTAAAAACAAAACATAATCTAAAACAAGAAGCCAAAACACCTAAAAGACCAGAGAGTATATTTTCAAAGTAATGGTTATAAACCTGAGAAAAATTGGTACCCTTCGAAACATTTACTCTTCGTGGCAAAACAGTGGAAGTCTTGACCCTCAGAGACTCTGCAGTTCAGTTCTTCAGTGCAGAGTCCTGGAGAACTATTTCTTGTCACAAGGCCTGGCTAACAAAGCCCATTCAAAGTCAGTGCCATTCACAGTAGTCTGCTGGGGAACTGCTCGTTAGCAGTCTGAGGGGAAGCAAAGGAGCTCGCTCAACAAACCAAATGCTGGCTGAATGGCATTGGTCCGTGGACCATACTTTGGGTTGAACTAGTCTGGATGACTCGGATGGTTTAACATTTAAATCCTCTCATGGTTATACCTGATCTTCATGTCATAAAAAACTCACTGACCAGGAGGCAGTAAAAAAACAGTCCTACTAATTATACTTTTAGACAATGAACACATTTTTGGAAGTAAAATGATAAATTATATGCCTTAAAAAATGAGACCCTTGCTGATGGCAAAAAAAAAAAAAAAAAAGGGTAGGGGCAGAATAAAAGAAATTGCATGAATTTATAGAAACTAGTCACCTAAAACACATCTGGAGCTCTGGAGAAGAACATTCTAATCACTGGATCACGTACCTCCATGATCTCTACTTTTTAGAGAAATGGGGAGTCACATCTGAGAGGAGAAACACCAACTACATTTCCCCAAATAAACTTCCCGCCTAAGAGCAACCTCGGATTTGCCTGCTCCGGGAAGGCAGTCACTGGCCACCTGCTTTCCGCCCCCTCCCAGCCTGCTGCCTTCACTCACAGGAATCATTGACACAGAGATCTTCTCCTTTGCCGCAGTACTGCTTGCCCTTGGTTCGGAGGTTGGCCCTCACTGGGTTGTCATCGCTTGGTCTGAGGATGACACTGAAGATCTGCTTTCCCGTCCATAGGGTGACAGGCTGCAGAAGGAAGCCACAGCATCAGTTGGCTGAGCCTGGTCTCGACTGCAGAGTGCTTGCGGCCAAACCTGCCACCAGCACCCCAAGCATCCGCACAAACCTTTAGTATCGTCGGGGGTGGGAGGTGAACTTTAATTTTCTCATCCTTGCCAACCAATATTGAAGCAATGATTTGGCAAGCCTTGGCGCGGTCAAAGAAAGTGTCCTTCAGGGTGAGGAGATAGGCACCTACGAATGTTGGCAATAACACAACACAAAGAAACGGAATGAAACTGTGAGAAAATCACAAGGTTTTGATTTTAAAATGAATCTGGGCTATTACCAAAAGAGTGAATTAAAACATAGAGCTACTTGCTGGCTCTCTCCTCCCACCAGAATCGAAGCTCCACAAGGAGAGGGACTTTGTCTGAGTCACTGCGGTATCTCCAGTGCTTAGAAAAATGTCTAGGGCACCTTAGGAGCTCAACGAATGCTTACTGATTCCAAGCATAACCAACCAACACAAAATCCCTCAAGTCGGTTCACAGTCAACACTTAGTAAACGAACAACAGAATTAAACACAGGAAATTACACAGCTAAGTTGTGACATGATTCACTGTGAAAGAGAATCCTGGTGTTCCAGTCTCCCTTCAAGTGACTTCACACACACACCTGTCAGAAAATCCTGAATAGCAGCAATTAGTGGTTCTCCATTCCTTGGTGTTACCAGATTTGCTTTAGTCTGAAGGAAAAACAAACAATACATTAGCCATTCCATCCATACGTTCTTTGGATTGCATGATGCAGGCCAGGAACTGCACCCTAAAGACTCCGAACTGCTGCAAATAAATACAGAATAGCTGGTGAGCGGAAAAAAGAGGCTGAGAAATGGAAGACAGGGGTCCTGATTCCAGCTTTGTCACCAGCTCCTCTTTCCTTTACCTGCAAGAAATGGGCCTCAGACGTTCCTACCAACACTAAAATCAATACTGAGTGAAGTTGTTTTGGATTCCTATAAGAACTCCATATGTGTAAGACTTCACGGTTATTAATAAATGCACTTCTTCAAAGAAAATTCACTTCTATGAATGATGGCAGCACTGTTACCTTTGAGGACAACCAATTCCATACCTCTCCACAATGATGGCAGAACTGCTGAACTTCTCTTGGTCAAGACACTGGGTTCTAACAATAATTAACAACAGGATTTAATTAAAATTTAACGAATGCCTACACTGAGCAAAAAGGGGTGCTAGTTGTTCAGGGCATAATTAACAAGTTTAAAGAAGATTCTATGCATCAGAATGCATTTGCTCAATTTTTGCTGTTGTTGAGATGTAACTGACAGCTAAATTTGCTCAAATCTTGATGTGGAGATGCTTGTGTTACTTGCGGGTTGTCTGGGCAACCTCACCTGGAGTAAAAGGCCCCTCAAGGGAGAGACCTGCTTCTGCCTTCCTGTTAATGCTGCACGGAACGGTGATCCTCCAGCTAGGGCTGGAAGACAGTTGTTCATGCCTGCTTTCGAGAATCTCTCTGAGGCGGGACAGGGAGGTGGTCTGGGGGCTGAGCACATGAAGCTGGGATCTGCATATTTTGCAAGTCTCCTGGGTAATTTGGGACTATATTCAGGCTAGAGCCATACCCACTCCACAGAGTCACAATTGCTGTCAATACAGTAGATGATAATTTTCTTACATAAAATTGAGGGGATTTGTCCCGATAGTAACTAAAGATTCTTCCATCCCAATATCCTTGGAGCCTGTGTTTTATTGTTGTCATTTTTTTTTTTAAAGATTTTATTTATTTATTTGAGAGAGAGAGAGAATGAGAGACAGAGACCATGAGAGGGAGGAGGGTCAGGGGGAGAAGCAGAATCCCTGCCAAGCAGGTAGCCCGATGCGGGACTCGATCCCGGGACTCCAGGATCATGACCTGAGCTGAAAGCAGTCGCTTAACCAACTGAGCCACCCAGGTGCCCTATTGTTGTCATTTTTAACCAAGGAAATATGATACAACAAAATGGATCTTCAGTACCAAAGTCAATGCTAAAGTCCAACTGGTTGGTGACAGGCCGTTATCACTAGAAACCAGATACACAGCTGATATCACTGGCAACATCTAAACATTACTTTTTATTACAAAAAACAGTACGTTCTTTATAGAAAAAAAAATCTAAAAATATAAACGTGAAAAAATCAAAAATCCAAAAAAAAAAATCTCTGCATGAACTGCCAAACCAAAGAACTGCTATTATAAGATTTTGGTATATAACCCTTCCAACCTCTGTCTAGAAACGCTTTTACAAACATAGAAGCATCTCTTTACCAAACAAAATACGATCATGTCATACATGATTTTACATTTAATACATTTTTAAAATAAAAAATAAATCATAATTAGCTTTTAACCAACAGCTATACAAACTATATCATCATTTTTAAGGGCTACACAGGATTTCGTGGTATGAATGTGACATAATTTAATCTTACCAACTTTTTATTGGTGGATATTGTTTCTAATGTTTTATTATTACAAGTAATTTTGCAACTCTGCTTATGTCCTCTGGAGCGCTTACTAGCAAGGAGAGTGCAAGGTCAGAAGGAATGATCACTACACCATCTGACCGCGGGAGCATAGAACTCATTCGTGGCCATCCCCCCTGCATCATCTCTCTCGCTGTCCACCAACACCTAACACGGCACTCATCGCAACTGCTACAAATACTGACACTTAGGAGGAAACAGGCTGCCTCTTGTCATGCCAGGTCGGATCATACCACAGGGTCTTTGCACCTGTTGTTCCTCTGCTTGGATTGCTCTTATGCACACAGTCATGCTGCTCATTCTCCCACTTCTTTCAGAAGCTGGCTCAAGTGTTATCATTTCAATGGCCTTCCCTGACCATCCTCTATGGAACAGAACACCTCTCATTTTCTTTCCTCCTTGCTGTGTTTTGTTCTTTTCTTCTCAGCACTTATTACCACCTGACCTATTTTATAATTGTTTATTCTTCACTTCTTTCTGTTTGAATAGGGATGAGAACAAGAACTTTGACTTTCTTATTCTGTGTTGTGTTCCTAGAAGAGTACTTGGCACACAGTAGGTGCTCAATAAGCATCAACCAATCATTTTAAAAGGCTGAGGAGTCTGAAGAAATAATTCACAAGAAGAAAGACTCCAAATACACCAAGATGGCCACTGAGGGATTCATCCTCAGAGCAAAACAGGGAAAACACCCTCAATTCTCAACAGAAGGTAGATGAACCTTGGTGTGTTTACCTGGTGAAATTCTGTAAAGCCATTATACTCAATAATTATGAAGACTTAACAACAAAAGGGGGTATTTATTTTTAAGTTTATATTTATTAATTTTTTAAAGGGGGGAGGGACTGAGGGAAGAAGGAGAAAGAGAGAATCTTAAGCAGGCTCCATGAGGGGCTTGATCTCACAATCCTGAGATCATGACCTGAGCTAAAACCAAGAGTCCGACACTTAACCAACTGAGCCACCCAGGCGCCCTTATAATACATTAAGTAGTAAAAAGGAAAACAGAGGCTATCACCAACCATGACTACAACAAGTATCTAAATTCAAGGATAAGGAACAAACAGATAAAAAGAGGTGGAAATAAAGAAAACAGAGAAGTTGTGATATGTAAAATTCTTACTTAAATAACTCCATTATGCTAGAACATTTGAATAAATAAGAATCAATGTTTTATTTTTATTTATTTATTTATTTATTTTAAAGATTTTATTTATTTGAGAGAGAGAATGAGAGAGAGAGAGCACATGAGAGGCGGGAGGGGCAGAGGGAGCAGCAGACTCCCTGCTGAGCAGGGAGCCTGATGTGGGATTCGATCCTGGGACTCCAGGATCATGACCTGAGCCGAAGGCAGTAGCTTAACCAACTGAGCCACTCAGGTGCCCAAGAATCAATGTTTTAAAAAATTGAAAACCACAGTGTATTTTAGCCACATGAATTTCTTAGTAGTTAAGTGTGTACACAAAATCTGCACCACATTAAATACTTCATTTTACCAGAAAAACTATTATCAACTTCAGGCATGAAGAACCCAGGCAGGCCAAGAATGCAGCCCCTCCTTCCTGTCCCCACCGAATCCTCCTGTAGTTTAATAGATATGCTTGCGGAACTTAACTGCCTTCACTTTAGAATCATACTAACACCATAAATTAAAACAGATTAAAAAAAGCACCGAATCAGAAACGGTGAGAAGTGTTTTGGAGGGAGGAGCACTGATAGCCACAGACAAAACAGCCCATGATAATACAGAAAACCAGAGTACTGGGAATAAGGAAAACATAACCTCTACAGAATGATTTTGTTTAGTGTGTCCTTTAGACAACAAACGAGCATGTAATATACTGTTGGAAGATTTTTGTTCAGAATGTTCAATAAAATGTATTAGTACTTAAAGATATCTTCAACTACCAAAAAATCCTCTTATGCAGAACGTCTTATGCTTTTCCCATTACCCCCAACAGTCAAGACATTGCTATACCCTTATCTTTTTTATTTTTTAAACATGGCTTATTCATATAATACTATTCAGCAATAAAAAACAACACACTGCAACAAATGTACAACTACAGATGATTTTTTTTAAAGATTTTATTTATTTATTTGAGAGAGAGAGAATGAGAGACAGAGAGCACGAGAGGGAAGAGGGTCAGAGGGAGAAGCAGACCCCCTGCCGAGCAGGGAGCCCGATGCGGGACTTGATCCCGGGACTCCAGGATCATGACCTGAGCCGAAGGCAGTCGCTTAACCAACTGAGCCACCCAGGCGCCCCCAACTACAGATGATTTTTAAAAGCATGCTGAGTGACAGAAGAGGTACACAAAAAAAGTATAAATGTATGATTCCACTTACATGGAGTTTTAGAAAAGACACCAGGGGTGTCTGGGTGGCTCAGTTGTTAAGCATCTGCCCTCGGCTCGGGTCATGATCCCAGGGTCCTGGGATCGAGCCCTGCATCGGGCTCCCTGTTCAGCGGGAGGCCTGCTTCTCCCACTCCCACTCCCCCTGCTTGTGTTCCCTCTCTTGCTGTGTCTCTCTCGGTCAAATAAATAAAAAATAAAAAAAAAAAAAAAGAAAGAAAAGACACCAGATACACAGTGGGGAAAAAATCAGGATAGTATTGCCTCTGGCAGGTGAGTTATAATGGAAAGGCACAAGAGGAAATTTTGGGGGGTTATAGTAATGCTCTCTGTCTTGACAAGAGTTTGATATACACAGCTGTATGCACTTGCCAATGCATAAACAGAATGGTACACTTCACCTTAAAAATGAAAAGTAAGAGAAAAAATAAACCATTTAAATCTAACTGTATGCAGACTGAGTTATTTAGGGAGTATACTAAATGTCTGCCACTTACTGTTAAATGCTGCCAGACATAAGATGGATTATGGATAGACAGAAGGAAGAATAGAGGGACTGATATGTGATAAAGCCTAACAGTAAAACGTAAACTAAAGGATCTAGGGCTACACACCTGTCTTATCTTTTCATAGCTGGTGCTCGAATAGGTACTTTCCCTTAGTGATGCACGTTATAGGCCAGAAGATACTCCCCTCAACTCCCCACCTGTCACAGACACTCCCTTACATACTATAAGGTGCTTTCAAACAGGACCTGCTGCCCTTCCCCTCCTTTCAGGCTGTTCGGGGAGCGGGGGGGCTGCCACCCTACATACCCCCATCAGAACAAGGGCCTCTGCTTTAGCTTCCTCCGTTTGAGGAAGATGAAGATTCATCTCATCGCCATCGAAATCTGCGTTGTAGGGCGTACAGACACACTCGTTAAATCTGAAGGTCCGGTGGGGCTTGACCTTGGCCTGTGGAATACACACACACACACACACACACACACAAACACAGACACACACAAAACAAAATAGGAAAGGGACTTAGTCATTTACCCAAAAACCTCATGGTTTCAAAACATTAATAAATGGTTTCCTGGAGAACTGGATACTTTAAGAAAATAAATTTCTAGTATGTTCTGTCAAGTGATAACATGTCACTTGTGGACTTATTCAAGTAGCTTTATGAGATCAAAACAATACAATGAGTTTAACACAAGGCAAATACCAACCTAAGAGCCACAAGAAAGGGCTCCCCTGGCCAATGATGTCATAGTTTGATATCAAATAGATTCATGGCAGAAACTGATTAAAACACACTGACTAAATAAAAACCCATGAGTTTATAATGACACTGAAAAAAGGGAAAGCAAGACCACACACAAAACCCAAACCAACGTAGTTGGAAGAAATTGAATGCCAACTTTCTCCTCCCCAAACTGATAAAAAAGGAAAAAGAATCAGGCATTTATATGCTGCCTTTCCTTCAGGAATTATATTTTTGGGTAATAAATAACCCTAGTTAGTAAGACAAAATTCTTCATTATACAAATGGTGGGTATGAAATGTGAAAGGAATGACAGATTAGAAAATCTCCATTTTGTAGCCCCCATGAAATAATGTTGGCAATAATCATAAATGGAGGAAACCTTTAGAAAAAAGGTCGATAAGAAAACTTTCAAGGGAGGCGCCAGGCTCAAGTATCTGATGCCCTAACCTTCTCAGCATAACTAAGAGTGGGGTAGCCAGACAACACATGCCTTCTGAAATAAGGTAAGAGGAAGTAGCCAGCACCACCTAGGAGTTACTCTTGCCAAAAGTTGAACATGAATCTGACCCTGCCTTGAGAGCTACTGTTCAGTTTATAGGAATAAAAGGAAGAATGAAGAAACTCTTAATGCTATGCGTATACATACAGAGAACACGGGACATTTCTTCAGGACAAATGACCTGGCTTTTTCAGCAACAGTGAAATTAAAAGGCGGGGGGGGTGCCTGGGTGGCTCAGTTGTTAAGCGTCTGCCTTCCGCTCAGGTCATGATCCCAGGGTCCTGGGATCGAGCCCCGCATCAGGCTCTCTGCTCCGCGGGAAGCCTGCTTCTCCCTCTCCCACTCTCCCTTCTTGTTTTCCCTCTCACTCTGTCTCTCTCTCTCTGTCAAATAAATAACTAAAATAAAAAAAAAAAGAAAAAGGAGGAGCAGTTGTTCTAGATCAAGAGAGACTGAAGACATGTTATCAACCAAATGTCACGTGCAGACTTTACATCCAGATTTGGACAAACTAGCTGTGAAAAGATTGTTGAGATGCTTGGGGAAATGTGAGCATGGACTGGGTGCTGGACAATACCAAGGAGTGAGTGTTCATTTTGTGTAGTGTGGTATGGCACTGTGGTTATGTGTGTCTTACAGAAGTAAACTGAATACACATGGAGAGAAGACATGGCATCTGGGGCCATCAAAGGAAAAAGGGAGAGAAAACAGGAGTGGCAAAATCTTGAAAATTATTAAGAACAGAATGAGAATATAGGAGTTCTTCATAGGATTCTTTCCACTTTTGTATATATTTGAAATTTTTCAAACAAAAACATTTTTATTTTGAGAATGCCAGAAAGCCAAGAAAAAGTTTCTGGGAAAGGAAGGCTTTTGTCCTCTCCCTAGATCCCCATAATCATAACCCCCATAATCATAAACTGTTTCTTTGATATTTCCAGACTTAAGTAAAAAGATTGAGGAAACATGTTCGTGAAGTGAAAAACTAAATCTAGAAAGACACTACCCGAAGAGCCTGTTTAAACACTGTTTGCAAATGCTCATGGATTTAAAGGCTTTGGAGAAGGAGAATTTATGAATATTGAGCGAATTAAAGTTGCATCTAATTTCCATTTTAAATCTCCAGAAAAAGGAACTGCTGCTGTTGCAAAACTAAATCACTGAAGAAAATATGCTTGAAGGTCTTCGTTGGAGGGCCATTGCGACGAAAAATCTCCTAAGCATTTTAGTTCCATAGTTAATATGCTAAGTGAAACCTGAAATCTCCTTTCTGCCATATCTATTTTACGTAAGTCTGCGCACACACATATATGTATATATTTTGTTTGCAAGTGGAATCATGTGCCAATCACTTTCACACTAGTTTTCAATTAGTTCCTTTGTTTCACTGTTGTGTGTGCATTTTATCAATACGAAAAATACTGAAGGGAAGCCTGAAACGTAAAAGTTTCACTCAAACTAAAAAGTGAGAGTAGAGAAAAATCAGAAGTCACAAAAATTTGAGATTACTGGCAATCGAATTTTAGGGGTCCAGAATTTTGCATCGCACACCCAGCCAATTCCTACCCAACAGAAGCTATAAACAGAAATGTCACGCTCACCAGATGCGCCATAATGCTCAGTTTGTGCAGCGACGGCTGCCGGTTGAACAGCACCACATCTCCATCTATGAGGTGTCTCTCCACGATGTCCCCATACTTGAGCTCCTGGGCCATCTTTTCCCTATTTCCGTACTTCAAAAACCTAAGTGTAGGGTAAGAAACGTGATCTATGAGAGTAAAGCCTCCTCACCGAGTTGCTCCCTCTTCACATCAGGAATCAGTCTCAAAAATGATCACATTGCCCTGAATCGAAGGTGCCTTCACAAGCCCGTCAGTTAAACTATGACACACTGTCAGTATATCTTCATTTCATAAATGTTAAAATATGAAAAAAGTTATGTCTTAGAATCACAGAAATGCAGGAATAAGTCGGCTTCTCCCACAGCACCCTGCTAATATGTTTTTATCTTACGTTTATCCCAGGAGATCAAAAGGCACCAGTGATTAGTGGAAAGCCTGAGTGGGCAAAACAAGGCTGTAAATACAGTAAGTAACCCCACAGAGCCCGTGTGCACAGAAAATGACCGGCTTTCCTAACTCCATGTGTTCTGTCTACCCAGACCAACAATATATGCCAGGGAACAAATGGACATTTTGTGTATATTCAATGCACAAACACAGCAAATGATGAACCCGTGCTCACTAAAATTTAAACAGTATTTTTCACATGATAAAATGCCACAAACGTTGTATTTTGGACTGTATTCTGTGGCTGAGTATGGCGACCCTGGGCGTGAGAACGTTGTTACATATGGCTAGATTGGGCCAGCATTACCTTTTCATCTGTGTGTGTCTCTGCTGAATGAAATTGGCTCCTGGGTGAACTTCAGGGCCATTTCGAACCAGTTTCCTCAAAAAATTGATGTTTGCTTTGTTCACCTGCACAACCACAATAAAAGACACAAGGATTACCGTCAGGTTTCTGTACGCTGAGTTGCGTCTCAATCTTTACTTTCCTTGGGTGATTCCAGGAGAAAGAAAGGCAGCATCCTGCTGCCTTGGGTCTTGAGTTTAATGACAACAGCGGACTGGCACAGGAGCCCAGGTTCCAATCTGAACTGACCACTGGCAGGGTGAAATGGCCAAGTCCTTTACTGGCCTTTGGTTTCCCTATTAGTGAAATGAGTGGGCTGGACTGAGCTGTAGGGACCTTCTGGCACATCCTGTGATCCTAAGAACAGTTGGCAACCTCACTAGCAATGATTTACCATGGGCTCCTGAGGTTTAAAAACTGTGACTCCAGCACCACTAGGCCGTGCTCTGCATTGTCATGTCCTGCAACCTCTCAGACAACAGTCTTGTGGAACCCCATCTCAGAGAAGGAAACTGAATCAGATACATAAAATATCTAAGGCTACTTTACACAAGCTTTACCAAAAGCTTCCACGATCTAATTATGAATCTTAAAAGCAAAGCCAAAGCCCATATCCTCCTATTATCAGGACTTACAGTTTTCTATACCTCAGTTACTATATATTCCATTTTATACTCATGATGAGTGTGAGTTAAGTGCAAAGTGGTGCAGCCTTTCTGGCTATGCATCAATAGCCTCAAAATATTCAAAGCAGGGGCGCCTGGGTGGCTCAGTTGTTGGGCGTCTGCCTTCGACTTGGGTCATGATCCTGGGATTCTGGGATCGGGCCCTGCGTCGGGCTCCCTGCTCAGCGGGAGGCCTGCTTCTCCCTCTTCCACTCCCCCTGCTTCTGTTCCCTCTCTCGCTGTGTCTCTCTCAAATAAATAAATAAAATCTTTAAAAAATATATATATATTCAAAGTATTTGACTCAGTGATTATAAAGTCTTAAAAATAATAATCCATCCCAAGGAAATTAACTGGGTGTGGTGCTTATCATTTAGTTACTTTAAAAACATGAGGTAGGGGCGCCTGGGTGGCTCAGTCGTTAAGCATCTGACTTCGGCTCAGGTCATGATCCCAGGGTCCTGGGATCGAGTCCTGCATTGGGCTCCCTGCTCAGCCGGGAGCCTGCTTCTCCCTCTGCCTGCTGCTCCCCCTGTTGTGCTCCCTCTCCCTCTCAAATAAATACAACCTTTAAAAAAAAAAAAAAAGAGGTAAGATGGAACTAAGAGGTCAAAGACCATACTACTTGGAAAAATCAGTTGCAGCAGCTTATGTCTAACGTATCTCTGAGCGTATACACACACAGCCAGACACATCTGTGCTTGCACGGTGGTAGATGTTATACGCGGGTGTAGACGTATGAAACCAGAAGATAACACACACACCAAACTGTGGGTTGTGTGCATTACCCGGGATTTTCCAACTGTCTATTGTTTGGAATCTCAAAATAAAAGACAAACACAGAATTGAGTGACTGAATGGAACTTACCTTCTCAGGAAAAGTAAGAATTTTGGCCACGTGAACGGGCACAGCTACCTCATCGATCCTGAGATTGGGGTCAGGTGAGATGACTGTTCTGCCAGAAAAATCCACTCTCTTTCCTGAGAGATTGCCTCTAAATCGACCTAAATCAACAAAAACACGTCACAGGTCTCCATGGAACAAACGTGTGCTGCTTTGGAATAGTATGACCACAGAGAACTAGGGAAGTCTGTGATTGCCAATTAGATAAGCTGGACATACACTCCAGAAAAAGGTAACAAAGGCAGTAGACTGTCTCCTGCACATTTTGTTGGAAACATACCCTGTTTTCCCTTTAGGCGCTGGACGAAACCTCTTGTCCATTTCTTGGGTGCCATGTTGAGGGGAATGCCTGAGAGCTCGCTGTTAATGTAGAGGGCACACTGTAGTTGCAAGAAATCCCAGTCTTCCATGATCATCTGGGTCTTTGCTCCTGATATCCGATGCTAAAAATGAGCAGCGAATGAGAAAACATGATTCTGGGTCAACCTTTCTTTCTTTCTTTCTTTATTTTGAGAGAGAGAATGAGAGACAGAGAGCACGAGAGGGAGGAGGGTCAGAGGGAGAAGCAGACTCCCTGCCGAGCAGGGAGCCCGATGCGGGACTCGATCCCGGGACTCCAGGATCATAACCTGAGCCGAAGGCAGTCGCTTAACCAACTGAGCCACCCAGGCGCCCTCAACCTGACTTTCTTGATGAGAAGTGTTTGCAATAGATAACACTCCTAAACCTAGTGCTTGGAAGCACTGACTTTTTTTTTTTCATTTTTTTTCATTATGTTATGTTAATCACCATACATTACATCATTAGTTTTTCATGTAGTATTCCATGATTCATTGTTTGCGTATATCACCCAGTGCTCAACGCAGAACGTTGTACTGACCTTTTTAATGACGTCATTTAGGAAAATGATTTCTGTCAATTTCATCGTCAGATCATCTTCATTGGTGCCAGACTTCAAATCGCTCACGACGGAGGGTCTGATACACAAAGGGGGCACTAAAAGTCGTGTGAGAATCAAATCAGAGGGCTTTCCAGCTTCTGGGTTCATTAGAAGTAGAGGGACATCTTCAGCTGGGATTCGTTTGAATAAATTCAGAACTACTAAGGGATTCAAGTTTTCCTATAGAGAGGAGGAAAAAAGAATGGAGAGACACGTTAACTTTCCACAGTTTGGGCAAGTTTACTTCATGCTCTCTACCCCATTCACCACTTAACTCAGAGTTAACTATACGCACTGAAAGAAATTTCTGTTGGTAACATGCTACGGTGGCAGAGCCCTAAACACATACATGCCTTTTATTCCAATTATTTAAGCCAGTAATTCCACTTCTAATTATTCCAAAGGGAATGACTTTAGAAATCAACACAAAGATTCAGCTACAGGGATGTTCCCTAAAGCTGTTAACAATGAAGAGTTGGAAATAGCCTGATAGGTTGCTGGCTAGATAAAATCATAGTATATCCATACACAAGTAACCACGAAGCCATAAAAAAAAAGACACTACAGAAATGTAGCTATTGCCATGAAAGCTGTTCATAAAATATTGGTAAATGAAAGAAGCGTGTGTATGTTATGATCTCATTTCAGGGGAAAATGTACATCTGTACAGAAAAGAGGAAATGGATGTTTAGCAAGCTGTTAATAGTACTGTCTGCAGGTGAGTGGAATTATAATCTTCTTGGTTCTTTGTTTACATTTAAATTTTCTGCAGTGGGGTGCCAGGATGGCTCAGTCAGTTAAGCGTCTGCCTTTGGCTCAGGTCATGATTCCAGGGTCCTGGGATTGAGTCCTGCATCAGGCTCCCTGCTAAATTGACCTAAATTGACCCTGCTCAGCAGGGAGCCTGCTTCTCCCTCTCCCTCCCGCTCCCCCTGCTTGTGTGCTCTCTGTCAAATAAATAAATAAAATCTTGGGGCGCCTGGGTGGCTCAATTGGTTAAGCGACTGCCTTTGGCTCAGGTCATGATCCTGGAGTCCCAGGATCAAGTCCCGCATCGGGCTCCCTGCTCAGCAGGGAGTCTGCTTCTCCCTCTGACCCTCCCCCCTCTCATGCTCTCTATCTCATCCTCTCTCAAATAAATAAATAAAATCTTAAAAAATAAATAAATAAAATCTAAAAAAAAAAAAGCATTAAAAAATAAATTTTCTGCAGTGAACTTACATCGCCTTTGTGAAGATTTTATTTATTTGAGAGAGTGAGAGAGAAAGAGAGAACACGAGCAGGGTGAGGGGCAGAGGGAGAAGACGACTCCCCGCTGAGCAGGGAGCCTGATACGGGACTCGATCCAGGGACTCCAGGATCATGACCTGAGCCGAAGGCAGACGCCCAACCGACTGAGTTACCCAGGCGCCCGCCTTCCTATTTTTTTTTTTAAGATTTTATTTTTCATTTATTTGAGAGAGGGTGAGAGCATGAGCGGCGGGAGGGGAGAGGGAGAAGGAGACTCCCCGCTGAGCAGGAGGCCAGAAGAGGGGCTCCTTTCCAGGACCCTGGGATCATAACCTGAGTTGAAGGCAGACACTTAACTGACTGAGCCACCCAGGTGCCCTATATTGCCCTTGTATCAACTTCATTTTATAGAAGTGCTATGCTATAACAACTTCCTCATAAGAACTACACGCATGATCAGAGAAACTCAAAGATCAAAGGTAAGAATGGTCAGCTTGTGTCTTGTTGCTGAAAATTACATTTTCTTGGGATTAAATACGGTGTGACAAAGAATATGTGTTACAAGCAGAACTTGCTATGCGTAACTTAATGAGACAGGGAAACAAAGTTAAGAAGAAATGTTTGAAAATCCACTGCCCTTAGGACACTGTCACAAGAGGATATTTCTGTGGGCCCGCCCTGGAGAAGGCAGTGGACTTGGGGAGAAAGAAGGAATCCTGCCTGAAGTTTTGCAGTCTGGGTCCCTGCCCGCAGAATTCCCTTCCTCAGCTTCCCTGCCTCCCAGCAAAGTGCACCTCACGGCCACCTGAGGCAGTCGGAGGATATCTAACTAAGAGTTCTAGGAACAGGATGAAGGCCATATGTCCCTTCCAGTACCAGAGTCAGTGCTAGACAAGAACATCACGGAACTGAAGGCTGTTGGAGGAGGGCAGGAGGACTGACAAGAGTCTGGAGACCAGTTCCTGGCCAGAGCCGTTACTCCAGAATGACATAACACTTGCCTCCCAAAGGGCACAGGGAAGAGAGCCCTGATTTATTGTTATGTACTAGGAAATGGAAGTCAGGGACCGCTGGAGAGACAGAAAGAAGGGCTGTTGGGTCCAAGGCACAATATCCAAACAGCCAGGGCTCCCTGGTGGAGCGTGGACTGCCCTAGGTGGCACAGAGAAGCTTAGCCTGCCACTCAATCTGCTGGGGTCGCTATGGAAGGCATTTCTACCTGGTGGGGAGGCAATACTGATGCTATCTATGGAAAGATTCTTTCCCCCCCCTTTTTTTTTTTTAAAGCAGGCTCCACCCCCAGTGTGGATCCCAATGCAGGGCTTGAACTCAAGACCCTGAGATTGAGACCTGAGCTGAGATCAGGAGTTGGACACCCAACCGACTGAGCCACCCAGGCGCCCCTCTATGGAGAGACTCTTATCTGCAGGTCCACCAACTCCTGGATTTGCATTAAAACAGGGAGTGGATATACACTAGTCTTCTGGAGATAGAGTCCAGAGTTTTTGTTTAATTCCTAAAGAGGTCTGTGACCCAGAAAAGGTCAAGAACCACTGCTCTAAGGTTTCCCCTAACTCAAGGATGCTATGCTGCCCATAAAGGCACATGAGGTTCCACACTCCTGGAAATTAAACGGGTAGGTAAGCATGTCAGGATGTGGACCATCCTGAGTTTAATGAGCTTCAGGGCAATACACCCACCTGTCTGCACGACACCCCTCTCCACAAAAGGTAAAAGGGACTCACTGATGCTTTGTTCACTTAGGTGACTAAGGGGCCCTCTCTGAGGAAGGGCCATTCGGAATCAGGCAATGGTGAATTCCTGTTTCGCCCCCTCCCTCCTTTCACAGCTGGTATAAGAACCAGGATAAGTTGATGGTCTCTGACAACTTTGGAGGCCCTGCCACTGCTCCAAGCACTGTAAAGTCCTCAAACAGGACCTCAGAAAAATGGATCTTGTTACAGAGCACACTTAAGGAGAAACCAACAGAAATACAAGATGGAACACAGGTGTTACATGAGGCACAGACAATGGACATGCGGTTGAGAAAAGGGTGAGATCAAAGGGTGGGAAGAGCAGAGGCTGCAGGGAAGAAGCTAAGGCAAGGGGGTGTCTGGTGAGGAGGGGGAGGGAGCAGAGTCAGTAAGCCAAAGGGACACTGAGTCCCAGCATACACGTGGAGAGGGGAGGAAGCCTCACCTGTCTTTACCATGACTGTCATTACTTATTTTCTTTATAATTTTGTTGTAAATTAAATCATACAGTTGCACTAGAGAAGTTTGTTTTCATTTATTAATTTTTAAAGGTTATTTAAGTAATCTCTACACCCAACATGGGGCTCGAGCTCATGACCCCAAGATCAAAAGTCCCACACTCTTTTGACTAAGCCAGCCAGACACTCCTGTCATTATTAAAGCTTTTTTTTTTTTAAGAGAGGGAAAGAGCGAGAATCTTAAGCAGGCTCCAAGCCCAGTGTAGAGCCTGACACGGGGCTTGATCTCACAACCCTGACATCATGACCTGAGCCAAAATCCAGAGTCAGATGCTTAACTGACTGAGCCACCCAGGCACCCCCATCCTGTCATTAGTATCACGATAATGTCAGTAGCAGTGCTAGGTACAGCAACTGGGTAATATGCTCTACGCGCTTGCTCTGCACCAGGCACTGGGCTAAGCACTTTACCCGGAATTCATCTCTTAATCCTTACAACAGCCTTAAAGCAGATACTCCTGTAATCCCTGTTGATAGCTGAGGAAACTCAAGTCCAGGTTGGGTCAAGTGTCTAAAGTCACAGAACAAATAAGCAGCAGAAATGGGCTCTAATCTCCCATCTGACCCCAAAGTCAAAGCTCCTCACTGCCCTAAACCACCTCTAGGGTGTCAATCTGGGCAGAGTGGGGTGGGGTACACAGGGTGGTGGTGGCATTGGGGCATGACCTGAGCGCCAAGCTGGACGTTCTAGACTAGTGACTTAAACGGGAGGGGGTTACCTATAGATCCGAGTCATTCAGGAGACTCTGCCCAAACAAGATGCCTCCCAGGCCATACGGGAGTACTGCGCTATTGTCGACAGTGTGTGGAGCAGAGACAGTGGCTGCCGGTCCCGGGCAGGGAGCTGGCCGTGGTAAGTAGTGGTGTGGTGCCAGGGAGGCTGATCCAGGAGCAGCAGAGGGCATGCAGGGGGACGGCAAGTAAGGCTGCCCCCAAGAAAGCCCGGACACCTCTCAACCTCACAGACTGAGGCTGCTCCCCAGGCTTCTGACTGCTTTCTGCACAGTCACGAGCCTGCAAAGTGCCTCTCTCACAGCTGTACAAGGGCAAGGTCACCTTCTTTAGCTCACACCCTCACTTCCTCTGCAGTAGCTTCGTCCTAACTGCCTTGAAGACACTTCTGCTTGAATCAATCGCTGACACCGTCTCCCCATTTCCAGGATCACTTTCATTTTCCAGAGGTCTGTGCACATGCTCACTCCCCTCTGACGGCTCCCTCTCCCACACATCTCCCTGGTGGTTGGTCATCAACTGCTGCCCTTCTTACCGCACACAGTGACTCTGGTCTCTGGCTCCTTTATTGCCACCTAGGCTCAGGGTCTGTTTTCCTTGTAACCCGCCCCCCCCATCAAGACAGAACTTACATATATTAAATTGTACAAATCCTAAAGAGATTGACACATTTTTACACATATACACCACACACACTAGTGTTCAGATCAAAATATAGAATATTTTCATCTGTCCATAAAAGGATCCTGATACTTCTTTTCAGTCAGTACCAAGCCCTCACCCCAGGGGTAACTGCTCTCCTCACATCTGTCAGCAAAGATCAGTCAGGCCTGTTCTTGGACTTATCTATGTGGAATTATACACTATGTACCCTCCTGTACAGAGTTCCTTGTTCTCAGCAGGATTCTGACATTTGGCCAGGTTGTGTGTGTCAGGAGTTCACTTTTCACGCAGGATAGTATTCCATCGTGTGGATCTGTGACAATTTTGTTTATTCTCCTGTTCACAATCATCTGGACTGTTTCCAATTGTGGCTTTTATTAATAAAGTTGCGACAAACATTCTTGTACAAATATTTCTGTGGACACAGGCACTCATTTCTCTTGGGTATGTACTGAAGAGTAAACCTGCTAGGAAGTATGGTGAGCATAGGAAATCGTCAAACAATTGTTCAGAGTGGTGATAACCTTCCACACTGCCACTGTCAACATAGGAGTGCCAGTCGCTTCACATCTTTGCCAGCACATGGTTTTCAGTTTTTTTACATTTTAATTTTTCTAGGGGTGTGTGTGTATAGTTTTAAATAGCATTTTCCTGATGACTAGTAACATTGAGCAATTTTTCACTTATTTATTAGCCACATGAATATATCCTTTTGTGAAGTGCTAATTCAAGTTTTGCTCCCACTGCTTAAAATCAGGGTCATATTTTTCTTACTGATTTTGAAGGACTGTTTCCTATATTCTGGATATGAGAGTCCTTTGTCAGATACACGAATGTTGACTGCTTTCTCCCAGCCCATGGCCTGTCTTTTCGCTCTGGTAATGGGTTCTCTAGGAGAGCAGTCAGGCTCTTCCGCGATTTCGTCATTTATTCACCATGAACTTTCCTGCTCAACACCTTCCCTGGCTCCACGTTCCCAGAGCAGGCTGCACTCTACACTAAGCTCTCACTTGTCTGGTCTCCAACACTCTAGTTCCCTTGGCTACAGTCTTCTGGATCATCTCAGGCAAGGCTGTCTCAAGCGCTACTGAAGATTACACAGGGGGCAATCCATGTGAAGAGCTTGGACAGTGCCCATCCCTAACAGCAGTTGCTGAAGGCAGGGTGCTTTTATTAGCACTCGCTGGTCTTTCAGAGCCTCAGCTTCAGAAACAGCCTAGACACTGTCGCCTGGACATGCTGAGCTCACTGCCCTTCACTCTGTAAACGTGGCTCACCCAGATCCCACCACATCTTTCCTCAGTCTTCCCTAACCAAGTCCAAAGTGACATCTTCCTCCCGATTTCCCACTGAGCTTCCTGTCTCTGCCACTCGTATGATGGTCAACACTCTGCCCTAGGATATCAGTTATCTTTTCATAGACTAACTGCTTGTGACACATCTAAACTGTGGGACCAGTGACAGCAGACCCACCGTCTTGCAGTTCCTGATGCTCCCGTAAGTCTGATAGAACTTGGTACTCAGGAACCATTCAACTCATTTGTTAGTCTCGTATACTACCAATTCTAGACTGTACTGTGGGAATTAAATACTAATCGAAATCAGAGCAAGGCAGAACAGAGTACCTCACAAAACCCTACTAGTTAAGTCTGTGCCACGTAAAGTAACGGGAGTCACCTACAATTTCTTAGATCTCAGTACCCATATGAGAAACAGCATCTCTCAATTTATGATCTATATAGCCACAATCTCTTATGATAAAACACGTTACCTGTACAATTAAAAATGCGTGCGTTAGGGGTGCCTGGATGGCTCAGTTGGTTAAGCGGCTGCCTTCGCCTCAGGTCATGATCCCAGTGTCCTGGGATCGAGTCCCGCATCGGGCTCCCTGCTCAGCAGAGAGCCTGCTTCTCCCTTTCCCTCTGCCTGCCGCTCTACCTACCTGTGCTATCTCTCTATCAAATAAATAAATTAAAAAAAAAAATCTTAAAAAAAAATACATTAGTTATAAGGCCAGTCTACATTAAACATCGTGTAACATAAGCACTTGTCATGAAGTATTCCTAGAGATCTAACTTAATCGGACTTCTCATCTTGAAAGAGGTGTCCATCAGAGAGAGGGAGCGGGTGAGAATGGGTGTGTGTGATGCAGGGGGAGGTAGGCAGAGGGCAGACATGTGTTTTCAGGCTCACCTGTGCCCTTCCCAACAGTGGTTCTACTTCTTTGTTATGCTCGATGGCTGTTTCAAAAGACTGAAGGAAATTTGATACGATAGGATCCACCACTTTTTTGTTGGTCTTGTACTTCTCATGAATTATCTTCAGTAATCCACATTTCTTTACGGTACCTGTTAGGAGTGAATTTATTTACCAAGATTGGACTAATGAGGTACTTGGGTCAGGCTGCCCTGAGATTGTAGTCTGGTTAATGAGGTCACTGAAAATGCATTTGCCAACAGGGCAGCAGTTGCTAGGCTCTAAAGCCTCATTTGCAAGAAAAAAACCTGACTTCCCAACACTGCATGAAACTAATAAGCTAAATGGACCAAAGTGAATGCAAAGGGCTTTACTAAGCCTTTTACGCGTCCTGCTCACCATTAAAAGCGCCACAGTAATGGCAGATGTTCTTCTTTCGGCACTTATCAGAGATTTTCTTCTTCAGTCCACGTTTCTGGAGGTAGGTCAGGCCAGGCCTCTTCAGATAATCCAGAAACTGCTTCTTCTCCTCCTGGGACAGCATGATGTGGCAGCAGGTTTTACAGATCATCTTTTAAAAATTAAAACAGATAAAAGGATGAGAGATGAAAAAGCCTTTTAAAAATGTCACCCCTGGGCGCCTGGGTGGCTCAGTTGGTTAAG